ATTACTAACACGGATCCCAGGTGTGCAAATCGCCTTCTGGAACGAATTGATAGCTCAGCTTAAGATCGACCATAACATGGGCAGCACGAGTCTCTCAGGCCAGCCCATGACTATCAAATGAAGCGCACACCGTGGACGCGCATGCAGCAACCTAGAGTTTATACTCAGCTGAATGCATCAGTGTTTCTTGATTCCCTCTCTAGATTGGGTTTAGAATGCAACAATAACTTTCAGGGAAAGATTTTTGCTGTGTATGTGCAGAATTGCATTCTGCCTGGGAATTGGGGCGTAGGCGTCGTGCCTCAGCAGCCAAATAGGCGAAACCTCTGAGGTACTTGGCTGTGAAGTCTTCCTATGTAAACCGACCCCGCCACCAAAGAACTAGCGTTCTAGATTTCGATTTTGTTATAGAAGTCTAGAAGGGTCTCATCGGGTGTATCAGCGATTAGCAACCGGCCTGAACGGTGAAAGGAACGAATTGATAGCTCAGCTTAAGATCGACCATAACATGGGCAGCACGAGTCTCTCAGGCCAGCCCATGACTATCAAATGAAGCGCACACCGTGGACGCGCATGCAGCAACCTAGAGTTTATACTCAGCTGAATGCATCAGTGTTTCTTGATTCCCTCTCTAGATTGGGTTTAGAATGCAACAATAACTTTCAGGGAAAGATTTTTGCTGTGTATGTGCAGAATTGCATTCTGCCTGGGAATTGGGGCGTAGGCGTCGTGCCTCAGCAGCCAAATAGGCGAAACCTCTGAGGTACTTGGCTGTGAAGTCTTCCTATGTAAACCGACCCCGCCACCAAAGAACTAGCGTTCTAGATTTCGATTTTGTTATAGAAGTCTAGAAGGGTCTCATCGGGTGTATCAGCGATTAGCAACCGGCCTGAACGGTGAAATGCCTGTCTCATAAGTAATGTGGGCACTTCATTGTCCTCATTAAACCCCATGAAGTCTTCTTGTTTCTACCGGGTGTATCTTGCACTTTTCCCGAAGCCATGTGACCAACACGACAGAGATGGTCCTTGTTAACCGATGGTATTTGATGCTTTTTCAAGGTAGCGGCTTGCTTGCTTGCTAAAGCACCGCCCTTACCGCCATGACTAGCATTGGCATCCGCGGTAATGGAGAAAGATATCTCGAATGCAGGGTCGGGAGTACTCTAGACGACCCCAACTGGCATATGAGGCCCCCATTGGATTCTCCTTCGATCTCTGCTAAAATACTTTATTTTAGGTTCCTACGTTGGTTCGCTGGAATACCGGTGCTCCCCGCTTGAAGTTGTCGTGGCACAACGCGAGAGGGAGGAATTTCTCGACGCCCCTTCGAATGTTCAGATAGAGCGGGCACCACAAGCAAATGGCGGTTATCCTCTCAGGCTGAAGAGCCACTGGTTCCCAAGTAGAATATGCAGCGCATGCCGCAGGCCCTACAGGCTCTCTGAACACCAGCACCTCGTCAGCATGTGTAGACACCCGGTCATCATTGACTGGGTCTACGAATACTGGGATTTCCCAGCGGCGCAGCGCATTGAGGCAGGTGCATTAAAGAACGTACATAGCATACAAATTTATTCCAGCTTGCTAGAATTAGAGTGGAACGCAGTCTTGTGCCTGTCATCGTGATGCATTGGGATATGCATCAGCGGAGTCAGACGATGGATCGATGATGGACAATTTCAAGCAGTCAAGTAATTCATCTTTTGCTTCAACTTTATTCTGTTAAGAGAGTTGAAGTTGACGCAATAATGCGCCAACTACTCCCCTGATACTTCGTCAGCAACGGGTCGTGTATAAGTATGATAATGGCTCTCATGACTTATCCCTAGGTCGCTTTGCTGCTCTATTTCCTCACCTCAATGCAGCGGGCGTCAGCGTCTCGGGAAAAGGCTTGGTTCTCCCCACAGACTGAGTTCGACGCGGTGCATGAGGCAGCAAGAGGGTGGCTCGCCCGCTAGAAACTTCTAGTTATTTAATACAGATGAGAACAGTCCCCTCAGCTGCGCTCACCTTAGCTCTTCTTCTTGCGTCAAGAGAATTGAACCTCCCTAAACTGTGTTTATCCTAAGACCATAATGACGGATATCGTGAATTTCGTTATTTTACTTTGGAGACGCACCCCCGATGCATTCAGTTCTCACCATCCGTGTACATTTAGACCACTACTTCCAATCATTTCGTCGGATACGCTGCAAAAGCTATTGGGAGAGCTGAGAGGTGCCCTTTTTGCCTCTCCCCCTCACAGAGACCCTCCATAGACACCTGCAGTGCCCCAGGCAGGGGTTGCTGCTCAGTTTCCAGTTCTTTTCGAATTCTTCAGATTCTTTCATGATGCTGCAACATCGAGTTAGGCAAACTTAGTTTTTGAACAGGCAGCATATGCGCCTGTTCGTAGGCCCATCTCGCCTTCTGAGTGCGGCATTCCTCTTCTGCCACCTGCTTTGAGGAAGGCATTCATATCTCCAATATCCATATGGCTTTTATCCTGCTCAGCTTCAAGTGAGCTTCCTTCCTTCTTCGCTACGGATACAGATACTGCGCTTTTCTTCTCGTTGATGTGCATGTATCCATCATATCCACGGGTTCTACTCGTTTCCCCCCGAAGTCCCTCGTTGCTGACCAGCGGGTTACTGATTATTTTGGTGTATATGGGTGCTCTGTGATGAACTACTGATGCCCAAGCTCCCCCGAAAAGTGCCTTCACGACGAATCGCTGTTCTATTTGAGGCCAGCTTGTGTGGTGGGGTGGCGCTGCCATGTTGTGCCTGCCGCTCCCAACTATGGTTGTTTGCTCTAAGTGTTGCCTCAGCATCTGCAGGAGCGTCTTCTGTGGGCTGTCCGCCTGACAGTTTTGCTGTCTAAAGAAGCAATCGGGATGTGCTGCAGCAAAGAAGCAGCAAAGCTTACAACTGATGCTGGTGGCATGTGCACTTCTAGCCGGCTGCATGCGTACGGGTGCCCTCCCCGTGAAGCAGCAAGAAAAGC